CATTATTACAAGTAACTTAATTTCTGGATATTTACAGTTTTATTGCTTTGTATGTATGGATCACTTGGGTTGTTACCAACATCTGGTGAACATTTCATGTCATTAGTACCTCTAGTAATATATTTACTGAGAAAAATGGTGACGTKTTCAATACTTATTTTACCCGCTGTATTTATATTACCCATTTTACTTGTTAAATATCTAAATTTAAAAAAAAAAACATTCTGTCGTCCAATCCATAACAATAATTTTACAGCTTTTAGATTTTTCAGTGATGGTTAAAAATGATTCAATGACAGAGAGCTTTTAATACTGTATCCTCAAATCTCATATACATAAATACAAGTAGCTGGAGCTTAAAATGCATGAATTAATACAACTGGTATTGTGATTTTACTTTGATTGCAGCAGGAACATGACAATTTTTTTTCTGATTACTTAATTAATCATCAGAATAATTGATAGATTACTAAAATAATTGTTAGCTGCAACCCTAGTGTGAAGGTCATGGGCATAAACCAGCATCACCCCCCAGTAACTAGTGTTAGATGTTAGTTTGCTCCAGTTTCTGTTCACAGAGTCTGCTGTTTATACCACAAGACTATTTTTGATGAGTTTAGTACAAACCCTGCGAAGTGTGATCTGATTTCTGTGAACCCACTTGAATGAAGTACCCAGTCTGTAATAAATTACCATAAAAGACAAAGCTCGTTCCGCATTTTTGAGTATTTTTTTGGTATGGGATAAATATTCCCCGCATATCTTACAAAGTAACACTTTGATATATACGAGTCTGATTAAAAAGGGTGAATAAATATTGATCAATAACTTGATCTGGTGCCCCAACAGTTTAAAAAGTGTACTGCAGTTCAGAAACAGTTATCGTCCTTTCTACTCTCCTAAAACTCACTATACATACTATAGTCTTCTTTTGCAAAAATCCCATTGACTTTTCCAGAACTGATGTAAATAGTCTCACTGCAACGATCTTGAGTCAGTTTTCTTCAGACATAAGCGTACCTCAATCTTCAGTTTGGGAGACGAGCTGTGGTTTGGATAATGCACATGAACTTTTCTCAGCACAAACTTTAAATWACTTTATCACTTAAGTGCTCTCTGACCTCCAGTAATACTGAGCTTCAAAGTGGCTGGGAACGAAGGTGCATCCCATTTCCCAACATTACAGCCATCCTGGCAGGCTGTCTGGTCTTTTGCTTCTAGTGCGTCCAGATATCATAGAATCATTCTGCTTCTGGGAAGTTAGAGCAAGCAGGCTCTTCAAGATCAGTTTCATGAATTTACTTTTCATAATGGTTACAGCAATTGTAATGACTTTAAAACCTTTTTTTAAATTTTGCTACTAAAACAACAGCAACGTGTCAATTCTCAACCAAACAGAGCAAATCATAGGGAAAGAAGCTGCACTCACGATGCTGTGTTGCTTTGTGGCACGTGCCCAGATAATTTGACGCGTGATAAATAGCTGCACACAGCACTACCTGCAACTTCTGAGATGGGGATCATGCAATGTATATAAAGCAATTTCCAAAGTTTTAAATCATCTGAGGTTCTCATTAAATTTAAATGAATGCTTCTGTTCCATTTTTATGCGCTAACCCCCTCAGTTTCCCTTTGTTGTGCCTTCAGAGCCATTCAAGAAGCTTTTTCCCTTGAGAACATCCCATGATACAGATTGCTGTAGATACATAACATTCTTATTAGCATGACTTACCCCTTCCTTTACCACACATCTTTATATAGAAGAACTAGTTTCCAAAGGACTTGTTTATAAAGCATCAAMAAAGAGCAGAAAATTCACTCAGAAGTGATTTTAATGAGCATTAGTGGTGGGTAACGTTTGTAATTTATTATTAATAGTATATATTATTTTGTGTTTCACCACACACTATATGATTACAAACTCTAAATGCATCCTGTGTATGTTAAAAATATCACAAATCTGTTCACTCAGTGTGTAGGTGAGGAACTTCATAAACATCAACCTAGGAGTTTAAGAAGCAAAAAGAAAAGTCAAGTATCACTGACTTAAATGCCCCACAATTGGCAGCCTACTGCTCCACATGTGTGTGTTCACATGTGCGATGGGTTAAATGCAGAGACTCAAATTTCCCCTCTGCGGGGACGATAAAGGTTAATAATTAAAAAAAAGTTAAGAAATTTACCTAAATCAAGCATTCTATTTCATTAACCAGCTGCAAAATGACATACTGTGCTTATGTACTAATTAAACTGTGTATGGATTTGATTATATGTTACGCTTATGTTTGTAGCCACAGCATGTTTGTGCTGTTTTGTTCTTTTTTTTTAAACAAGAGGGAAAGTAACCAGAAGCTGAGGAGCAGCACAGTGTTAGCATTTGGCCAAACTTACAGCTTGAAAACTCCAGAGGACATGAGTGCTCATCCATTGGGAAGTTGTTCAGTTTTAGCTGGCACTCGGCGTCAATGGTTAACCTGGAAAAATAAAATAAAAAATAAAAAAATGTGGCAAAGTGGATTCACTTAATTAACCAAACAAACTACCTACTTGTTTATACACACACACACACACA